GGAGGGGGGGGTGAGGGAGTGAGGAGGAGGAGGAGGAGGAAGAAGACGAAGAAGGAGGAGGAGGAGGAGGAGGTGGAGGAAGGGGGGGGGGGCGGGCGGGTGGGTGGATATTTTGATTTTTTTTTTTTTCGATTTTTTTTTTTTTCCCTCCGGTTAAAAGCCGGAGCCTCCCTCCCCCCCCCGCTACTGGGAGCGGAGAGCTGCGGGGTTCTCATTCTCCTTATAGGATTTTTTTTTGATATTATACGATTCTCCTTTTTTTTTTTTCCTCGCTGCGAAGAGCCGGCAGCAGGGGGGGGGGGGGTCCCGTCCTTGTCGCCGACCCCCCCCCCGCCAACCCTACACGCACACCTCCCCCGGTCCGTGACAGTAAGTGCCGGGGCCACGCGTGGCCGTGGGGTGGGTTTTGGGGCGGATCGGGGTGATTTTGGGGCTGCGGGGGGGGGGCGCGTTTGGGGAGGGGGCAGCGCGGTGCGGAGCGGGGAGGGAATTTGGGGGCGGCGTGTGCGCGCCCAGGGGGGGTGAAGGGGGGTCGTGTCGTGCGCGTGTGTGTGTCTGTGCCCCCGACCCCCAAAAAAATAATAATGGGGGAACACGGGGGGGGCGCGCGTGTCCCGAGCGGTGCCAGGATCGGTGCGGGCAGGGGCAGGGGGAATTACATCATCCCTATGGGGGATGCTGCCTCCGCGTGCACGCGTGGGGAGGGGGGGGACAAAGCGCGGGGGCGCGCCTCCCACCCCAAATTTCCCCGCGCCCCCCCCCCACAGAGCCGGGTCGGGGGAGGGAGGGGGGGGGGGAATGCGCGCTCCCGCGGCAGCCGCGAGCGCGCCGCCGAGTGTTTACAGTGTTCACGCCACCGGCATTGTGACGTCACTGAGTGACAGCCCGCCTGGCCAATCGCGCGCGGCCCCGCCGCCCGGGGCTGCCCGCCAAGGCCCCGCCGGCCCTTCCGTTGGCGCCCCGCCCACCTCCCGCAGCCCCCCTCAGAGGAGGGGGCCCGGGGGGGGGTCCCTGAGGGCGGCCCCGTGAGGGCGGCCCCCGGCTCCCGGCCCCGGCCCCTTCCCGTTCCCATTCCCCTGGTCCCGGTCCCGAGCCGAGCCCCGGGCTCCGCTGCTCGGAAAGTTAGCGAGGGGCTGAGGCGGGCTGCTGAGGCGGCAGTCACCGCTGTCCCCCGTTTGGGAGGGTGTTTGTCTGAACCCCTTTGTAGGGTGCCTGCGCTCACAGGTCTGCCCCGTTGTAGGATCTGCACCTTCACACTTCGACCCCCTTGTAGGATGTGTACACTCACAAGTCTGCCCCTTTGTAGGATACGCAATTTTACGGGTCTCCCCCTTCACAGGATATATGTGCTTACAGGTCTCCCCCTTTGTAGGATATACATCCTTACACCTACCCCCCCTTTATAGGACATGTACGCTTAGAGGTCTCCCCCTGTGGAGAATATTCATCCTTAATGTTCTCCCCCCTTGTAGGATATCTATGCTAACAGGTCTTCCCCTTTGCAGAATATCCATCTCTACTGGTCTCCCCCCCTCTATAGGATATATACATCTCTACAGCTCTCCCCCTTTCTAGGATATAGACATTCTTAGCTCTCCCCCTTTGTAGGAGACCCACATTTATAGGTTTCCCACTTTATAGGACACACACATTTCGAGCTCTCCCAGTGGGATACTCAATCCCACCCGGGCGCATCCGCCTTCCCCGGGCACAGCCCTGGCGGCACCTGTCAGCGACGGCGCGCTCGCTGCTTTAACCGTGTAGATCCTTACACTTTTTTCCATTATCCATAATTAATGGGGCAAAACGCGCTCGTTTTGTTGTCGCCAAACCCCGCAAGGGAACAAATGCGCGCTCTGGAAGCGCCCCGCCGGCCCTCGCGTTCACGCAAGAGGAAAACAACCCATGGAAAAGAGCGGGGCCGGGGAGGGGGGACGGGACGGAGATGGCGATGAGCCCCCTCTCGTCCCGAGGGTGAGGAGCTGCCACAGCGGGGTCTCAGGTCCTGACACCGGGATGTGAGGAATCCGCTGGCTGCTCCCCGAGGGGCTCGGTGTCTGCATAAGCCAGCGGGGAGCTGGCCGGGGCTGAGGGCTCCCTGGCTGCGCTACGAGCTCTCGGGATTTTGGAAAAGTGGTTGGGAAGGGACGTGGCTTAGGGGTAGGGGTGTGGGGAGCATGGCCAAGCTCGGCCACCGCGATCTGAGCCTGTGTGTACCCCAAATCCTCTCTGCTCTGCAACGCAGGCCTGTGTGTCAGGCTCTGCAGACCTGTCGCGCTCCCAGAGACGAACAAATCTCAATTCGGCATCCCACGTGTAAAGGGATTAGCGCTCAGCAATCAGGAGCATGTTTTCCCTGTGTGATACGTCTGCCCTAAGTGAAGCCGTGGGTGGAAGGAGGTCCGTGTGTGAGCACACACACCCTAGCCCCATCTCCTCGCGTTACCAGCCCCTGCTGTTTTAACTATCAAAAAGCATCGGAAACGAGAGCCGGATCAGTAGGGTACAGAGAAAAGTGAAACTACCTTAATTCACCGGGAGGTCAAAAGCAGTGCTTAAGTACACCCAGTGTGTACTTTTACATCCAATACAAGTGCTTTTCAGGTGTGCAAGATCAAGATAATGTTTTGCAGGTCTTACAGAAAATATAGCTAGTGTATTACTAATGGATCTAAGTCTGTTTTGCTTCAGATTGCCTGAATTACAGACATGAGCACTTTAGCATATGATTGTCTGAACGATCACTCCTTTCCCTTCTCACACTTGAGAAAGATTCTTGGTCACCTTCTGCTCCAGCATTACATCTGGGACCGCTCTGGCTACACCACGTGGTGGTGTCTGATAGTTTTTTCTTTAAAAAACATAATTCTGTCCTCCGTCCCCCTGCTCTGTCAAAAAAACGCAGTCTCGTGATTCCCAGTGATAACGAGCAGTTCTCCCTGCTGACCCTAAAGGCCTCGGCTAGGAATTGCCAAAGCTTTCGTTTAAAACGTAAAGCACATTTCTCAGCCATAAAGGGTGTCCTGAGCTCACACTGGGAAACGGGACTGATACGGCCAGCGCGGTCTTCCTGGTTTCGGCGAGCAGGCACTTCCAGTGTCGCTGCCTTTTTGCACAGTAGCACTTTAACAAGCAGCAGCCATGCATAACTAACAAGGCTGCAAGTCCACTTACTGCTTTTCAGAAGCCTGGAACCCGGTCCTAAACGAGCAGAAACTGCTCGTCCGCTGTGTGTTGTTGCTGCCATATGACAGTAGTGTGAGCAGCGGGGAAGTGCAGTGGTTATTCTCGGTGGGCGAGACACGGTGGGAGAGGAAAAGTTTTAAAACATGGAGCCTGAGGTGCAGAAAGCAAGCAGCACAGATCTAGCTATCCTTTTATAGTCACTGTTGTTTTCTGGAAAGGGGGAAAGAAAAGAAAACTCTCCCTTCCTTCCAGCAGCTAGGCAGGGGTGGCGTGACCCTCCTAGCTGCAGACTGATAGCACTCTTGGAGAAATCTTTATGTAGCTTTCATTTCTAGTAGCTGGAAATGAGAAGTATCGTTTTCACCAGTTCCTTCTCCTGTCGCTGCTGGGTTCTGCTCTTATCTTCTAGTTATACTGAGGGATGTCTAACAGGGCAGTTTTCAAGTTTGGCATTAATGCTTCATAAAAAGTAGTATTTTTTTTTTTTCAGAAAAAAAAATTAAAAGTATTTTAGTGGTTTTGATGAATATTTTCTCTACGTACAGTTAATGTTCTTAATATGCATAACTGGTATTAGCCAGGCAGGGCATTACTTTAAAATGTGTGCTGAATGTGTACAAAAGAGACACCTAGCACAGACCGAAAATGTACTCTCAGCATATATGAGAGCTACAAATATATCTCAAATAAGATTAATGCAAATTAAGAAATCAGTAGTGGATTGTCAGATGAGAAATACACACCTTAGACTGCACAAAGAATTAAAAAATAAATATGCTGAAAACTGGGTGACACCAGCTGGCAAGGCAGAATAGCGAAACAACTGTACTTTTTCAGGGCTCTTAATAACCTTGTTTCTGGCTGAATGTGGTATGTGCCTGAACATCCTTTCTTATAAAATAATAAATTTCACAAAGATCCTACTGTATGACAGTGTACTGACTGGCTGTCACAACTACTGACTAAATATTAATTTTGGTAGTCTTTCCAAGTTAAATCTATGAACTACTATACCTGGATAACTTCTAAATCGCTACCCACAAGTGAAACTCCAGTAAGCCACTTTTCTGACTTGCTTATTGTCTGTCCTTGTTTGTAAAGGGTTGTTTAGTAACTTACTTTCACTTGACTTTTTTTTTTTGTGTGTGCATTTGTTGGTTAGGGAAATATGAGATAGTCTCTTTTGATTTGGAGCTTAGCTAATTTTAGCTTTATAATGCTGAACGGTGAGATAAACACTGAAGACTAACAGTCTTCAGGACCTCCACATTACTGCAATCACTTCAGTTTCGTAACTCCTACAGATTTTTATCCCTTACAAGCATTAGAGCAATGATTTACATACCAGCGAGGGAAAATGAAAACGAGGAGGAAGCTCATTATAACCCTGTACGTGTACTCAGTTTCTCCTAACACAGGACTAGATTAAACCTGGCCTGTGCCACAAGAACTGTGAAGGGGGAGAGCAAAGGGTCCTTCCTGATAACAGCCGTATGCAGTTAATGCTCTTTTAACTCAATGGAACAAACCAGACCCCAAATCTGGAGGGAAGGAGGAATCTGGGCTACTATTCCTTCAATTTTGCTCCTCACCCCCACCCCTTGAGCTGTACAGAAGGGATCAGGTTGCACTATTTTAGAAGCTGGTGCAGTATGCACGCTTCCTCGGTATATGGGAGAGCTCGCTGTAGGGACGCACGCTGCTTCACAACACCCTTATCAACAGAGCTGAGCCCTCAATTCCCCTGTAAATTCCCCTGCAAGCGTACAATATTTTTAGCAATGTATACAAAGAAGATTATTAAACTAACTTACCTTTGGCACGTGGCTTTGAAAGCTTCACGTTTGACACTAGTCATAAAAACCATACTATCAGAGCTGCAAAACCTGTAAATATATGGAGAAAAAAAAATCAAGTGACTTAGCATAACTTCCTGAGCATGCTTAAAGACTCTAGATTGGTTAACACATTGAAAAATATCACTGCTGTCTCTTTCACCCTGCCACCTGAGTGCGGATTGCTTGTTACTGTTCCTGCAGACATTTCAAGTCACACCATGCAGCTGATGTTAAATCTGTAGCAAGGTAGAGGATGGATTGTGTCTGGAGTGGGAGCTCAGGCTAGGGTTGTAATCCTGTCGCTGTACCTGTCTCCAAATTTCACCAGTGGCTTTTTGATTCTGAGATAAAGATGATTAAAACTGTGCTAGGACTGATCCTAAGAGACAAAATAATGCTTAAAGGATGCTCCAAAGTTACATATATTAAGGTTAGGAAGAATATCTGAGTTGGAAGGGACCCACAAGGAAAAATCTAAAATAACCTAAGACCTGAAACAAGTATTTCGCAAGACTGTGTTTACTGTTTTTTTCAAAATACAGAAGTCATTGTTCCAGAGGCAGGGTGCGTAGTTAACAGTGCCTACAGAGCTCCCCCAGCCAGGAAGATCTCCCTGAAAGGAGTTCTCAGGCTGTGACACATCTCCACAACAAGGAACTGAAAACCAGGACGACTGGGATCCTTCATGGCAGATCTGAAGACCTGACTAGGAAAGGGCACTAAGCCCCATTGTATCTCACCTAGGGAAGGAGCTGTGAGTAATACGCAACCTTAACAAACAGACTGGCAGGTATCTCGTTTGAAAGCAAGAACCGAAATACTGACAGGTTGTCAAATTTCCTAGTAGCCAACCTGTCCTTTTCTCATGCATGGAAGTCGTTCTAGAGGGAGAGGCTGCTGGAAATAAGCACCTGAAAACAGAGGCAAAGATAAGAAGGCTCATGGAAGATGCTGAGTTGATGACCAAAGTCTTCATCAAGACTGTTACCCTATTTACTTCCTAATGCTGTGTAGATGAAGGAATCAAAGCCCCCAGGTTCTCTTGCAAATCGCAGGGATCCTACCCCTCTGTGCCCTTGAGGTTGTACAAGCCCATATCAGTGCTATGCTGCCTCCCCCTTCCTTTTTTTTTTAATTAATATATTAAAAAATCCCATTATTTTTTACGTCTTTCTACATCCCTTCCTGTACCGAGAAGTTTCTTATACTTGAGCAGACGTGTTAAGATACAAGGAAAGTTGTAGGAAGAGAAGGTTATTTCAGGGAGAGCCTCGGCTGCTTTGCAGAAAAAGGAGCATTTTATTTCGTGGAAAACAAAACCTTCAACCGAAAGAGACTGATGTTTATATTATCACTAAAACTTTTGCTGAAAGGGGAAGAAACAGCGACTGCAGACAGCGGTTCAAAAGGAAGTTCTGTTACAGTCCAGACCAAAAAAATTAAGTTCTTACAGTGTATAAAATATGTAATCAACGCTGAGCTTCTGCGCTTGCCTTAAATACCGAGCTGGGAGCGTGGACTGCTCCGCTGCTCGTCTTTAATGTATCCACCAGCCGTAATGCTGGAACCTATGCAAGGAGATAATTCAGACAAAAGCATCCATCGAGCAGAAAACTGTGATATTTGTCCAGTGAAACTTCTCCAGCTCTAACAAAGACACCATTCAAAAAAAAAAAAAAAAAAGGCATTTCAAAGAGCGCTGTAGATGCTGGACATCGACTGATTCTGGAGTTAAAGTCAGACATCTGCTAGCCAAAAGGAGGAATTCAAGAAGGAGACGCTTTCAAGTCTCAGACTTTCAAGTTGGAGACCTCCAGCCTGCACTTATCTATGTTTTCACACATCGCTAGCGGAGTTAGAAATACCCAGTGCGCAGAAGGAAAACAATCTCTATCAGTGCATACAGCACCGACACGATAAGGCGATGTTTTCCAAGCCTGGAGCAATTGTCGAGCAATTGCGATTCGTCAAGGCCACACGCCTGACACCCGGGGTCGTCTAACCTCAGGCCATCTTCCACCTTCTCCCCAGCTGGTCCCGGTGGCTCCGCTGCCTCTTTGCGAGCTGCCGGCACTGGTTTCTCCTGCTGCCGGCACCGAAGAGCCCCCCGGGAGGCAGAGGCAGAGGCGATGGGTGCTGCTGCTGCACCGCCACGGTTTATATAAGCAGCAGCTGCTTGGGTTTTGTTCCAAGACGAGCAAGGGCCTGTGATGGTCAGAGGGAGCTCAGGGCCAGCCGATGCTGAACCAGGGCTTTCCGCCACGGGCTGGGTCCGGTCAGGGCTCGGAGGGCCCGGCGGCAGCTCTCAGGGTGCTGGGTTGTGTCTGGGAGTGAAATCGCCACCTTTAACTAGCTCTTAAAGCAGAAAGACCCTGCCTCGCTCAGTCTGTTTTGATACAGCTTTAGGTCTGCATTGTTTTATTTTCATTTTAAAGGCCCTCCTCCAACTCAACATAGCCACTTCGCAAAACAGGGGTCTTCTTGCCATCCAAGCTGTTATTCCGTAGTTTTACAATTTTTACTTAATCACCTCCATAGGCAACCTCTGCTCCTTAATTTTTGCATTTTATGACAGAAGTTTTAATGGATTTTCTTTACTGCATGATTCAGTCTTCCAATTACAATTCATAAACTCCGTGTAGACGGAAAGCGGAATTCAATTAAAACGCAGCAGAAGAGCGCTTCATTTTTTTATCAGTTCAATGAAATAACCTCAGATGCTCATAACATGCAAGGGAAAGAATAGATTTCTCAGAACACGGTGCACTGAAAACTGATTTATTCAACAAGGCCTAATCGCTGCTAGCTGCTGAGCTGAAGGGATTGTTTCTGGTCAGCACGACCTGCAGGACGCTGGAACTAGTACATCGCATCCTCCGGCCGCTTTCATTCATGGACTCCAGGAGGAATTAAAAAAAAAAAAAAAAAAAAAAAGGAAATTGCCTGCTTTTTCGTCCCTCCGTGGATTTTTCTATTTCGAACCTATTAGTCATTCATATAAAGTAAATGAGTACATTAAAAGGGGGGAAAAAAAGCTATCAGAAGCAACTTCAGCATAGGTTATAGGTCCGTGTGCTCTGCCAGCGACTCCCACCCTTTCGGTGGTTTGACTTTCTCTCAGACTTTGGCATCAGAAAACGTGTTGCATGGGATTTTTATTGTGTTATTTTAAAATTCTCTAATAAATTTAACATTAATACAGGCTGCCCTGCTTTCGTATTTAATTTTAAGTGGTCTTGTTAAAAGAGAAGCATTTAATTTAAACAAAATAAAGTAGACCTATAGAACTCATTAAACTTAAATTAATAATTCCGGGAGGCCAGGGAAGTAATAGAAAACGTGGATTCCTTCCTTTCCGAATTATCAGCCATTTATGCGATCGGCTCTTCAAAACAGAATGGGTTCCTACTGTGCCTGCTGGTGTACACATAAAGTTAAAGAGACAGAGCCCTGGCACAGAGGTTCGCCTTAATTTGCTCAACACCTGAGGTGTTAAAAGTAAAGCCAAACAGGAGAGGCTTTTTATTATTTTTTTTCAGTAAAGCACTGGCTGTTCGAGTGCGGAATTACCAGCGCCAGGAGGCAGAGGGTGAAAGGATGCTGTGAAGGGCTCCAGATCCTCGCCTGTTCCTCCATCCCTTCCTGCTCCCCTACCCTTTAAGCTCTAGCTGCATTCACCCATGCCTGCCGACTGAAAATTGGAAGGAGCCTCAAGTAACCAGGGAACTGAACGTAAGCAATGCCGACCTTCCTCCCTGCTAAATATAGAGACTTCCCATCAAATCTCCTTGTCCTTCCTACGTGTCTCTGGAGGATAAACCTAGCATCAGGACAACTTCCCAAGTGGAAAGGAAGAAAATTATTTCTGATAACGTCCAAAGACTGTGACCCTGGCCTGCTCAGTTCTGAAACGTAACGTGCAGGTTTGGCAGCACAGAGCTGTGGCTTCAGTTTATTCGCTTAATAAAAAGCAGAATGAAATTCCACTTCCCGAGTTACTGTGATGGGAGTAACACTATCCCATGGTTTTTCTAGTGATTTTCTCACTCTTTTCTATGGTGGGCTCCCAGGCTTCCTCTCTGTAGTAGAGAGGATCTGAAGGCAAGCATAGGGAACAAGAGAAACCACTGGTCAAAATTACAGCGGTAGCAACGAGTTTCTACAGAGATAAAGAGGAAGAAAGTTTGGTTTAGGTAAGGGCACGATTAAGCAAGGAGAAAGAGATGAGGAAGAGGCCTTTTATTAACATATAAAACCTTTGAACCACAGCGTGCAGTTAGCACAGCTGGCACTGCAGGAACAGGGAGGATGAGGACTGCCTCAGGTTGGCTCTGGCTGGTTGGATGTGAAGAAGGAGAAGCCCTGGAAGTGTTTGTTTCACTACTGCACCGACTGGGCTGGTGGGCAGTGATTCATAAACCGACCTTACTGGAGAATATGAGAGGTTGGGCTGGTTGAGGCCGGGCCCGTTATCCTATTCCCAGCAGCAGATGTAGGCCGGTTCTCACCCAGGTGCTGTCCCAGCAAATAGCAGGACCAGGACAAGCACATCGCATATTGTCCACGGGTCCTGGTACCCAACTTCTCTTAGCTCGGGTGGGTTCCTGAGCCTGACGCCGTTTGGCTTCACTAGGTCCCCCTACCAAGGTTTTCTGCACTGTCTCCACTGATCCGTGTGGACTTCTTTCATCCAGACATCTTTAGGCAAAGGATGCCACGAGTGTATTTTCTGTGAACCCGCCTACAGCCAGCTTCATCTCATGCATCCTCTTTTTTGTACTGAGAATGCAAAAAGCTGATCCCAGTCCATCCTTTTTAATGCATCACCTTAAAAAAAAATATCGTTATTCTGAAGAAACGTTTGAGGGGTGCCGTAATTAAAGCCTGTGAAGTAGAAGCCATTGCCTCTGTGCTGGAAATCTTATTTCTTCTTAGCTCTACTGATCAGGCACCAGCCTACCCGCTCTCCGTGGCAGATGCTGAAGCTGCTATTGCACAGAACTCCTTCCAAGATCCCAGGGAACTGGAAGCTCAGCTGAGCACATTCG